TAATGTAAGCTTTCAATGGAGGTGTCCTTTGGCTTACTGATGAGCTGTGTGGTCTAAATGAAGCCCATGACCAAGTGAAGAGGCCATATTTGACCTTAGTGCAACAAAAAACACTCAGTGTTGGTTTTACTGAGGAAGTGTGTGCCTTTTACAGCCAGATCAATTTCTCAGGAAAATAGTGAAGTATTAATTTTATATGAATATTTTTATTAAGTTTATGTGCATTTCAGATAATAGATCTTAACCAAATTTAGACACCCCTCCCCATCCACACTCCCATATCCCCCCACTGGATTTCATGCATTCTGTCATATATGTTAAGACTCATCTGGTCAAGTTTCCTACCCAAATTCCCCTTGGTGCAAGTTAATCAGCTGGAGTCTAGTCAGCATATCTAGAATCACCTCCTTAAAGAAGATCTACTCCCTTATCCAGCAGTAATCTGTTGCCACTAATTCATTGGCTAGGGTTGGGCCTGCTGCCCATTTCCCTAGTTTTGTGTTGAGTTTTTGTCTAATTAAGTAGACATGAGTCTTTTGCATGCTCTCACCATTGTTGCAAATTCCCAGTAGCCTGAAAGCCTGTTAATGCACCAACCCTGGCTCTTACAGTCTTTCCACCCTCTCTTCTGCAGTGGTCCCTGAGCCCAGGGTGGGTGAAGTTTAATATAGGAGTCCTATCCAAGGACATATACTCTGCAGTCTCTTATCCCTAAAACTTAGCCAGTTGTTCCCTTCTGTGTACGTTGCACTTTGTTGTCTTAGGAAGTTTGCTGGTGAGAGTTGAGGGATGTGTTAGTATTCTATCTACCCACTATTGCTCTGTATTTCACTGAAGATGTGTCACAAAAAGCTAGGCATCTCTCAGACATATATTCTCTGTGTGTGATCAGTTGTGGAATTCTGTAATAGCCTCCATCTGTTGCAGAAAGAAGCTACTTTGATGAGTCCTATACTGTATACTTGTCTGTAAATATAAAAATGCATATATAGCATACAATAAAGAAACTTCATTTTTCTAGAGAATGACAGAGATAAGCTATTCTGTAGGATCTATGACCTCTCCAGCCACCTCTATATGGATATATATATATACACACACCCATGAGTTCCCTCCCATTGAGAGGGGTTTTAAGTGCAATTAAATTGCTTCTGATTATTCTTTAGATAAACGGGCCAGTACTGCATCAATAGAGATAGTTTGCTGTGCCAGTCATTGTGGTTATTAGGCTTTGGAGCTGGGTTGGACCATTGATTGGTTATCTCCCTTAGTAGCTTATCTAGTATTCTCTAGAGCTATAGAGCTAATCTTCAGGGAAGCTGGCTTCCAGGTCAGTTCCAGCTCCCTTGTTCCATGTCCTGTGTCTGAAGTAAGTCCTTTCTTCAGCAATAGGGTCTTACCTCCAAGTTCTGGGAGGCAATAAGGACTGTGGCAATAGCCTGTGTTAATTTGGGAGTTGCTTGGACTGTCATGACCAACAAATCAAGGGGATGCTTCTCCTGTACATGAAATTTCTTAATCTTTAAATTGTTCCAGTTGATTCATATTCAAAGTATTTTGTTGGGAAAATTCATCATAAGTTTGTACTAATACTGACTGGAGGTTGCCAGTCTGTAACCATATAGATATGAGGTTAGATGTCATATTTGGATTACTTTTAAGTATTAGACATTTTGAAAAATGTACTATAGTTATGATTTTTAAAGGTATGATAGTTTTTAAAATTTATTTAATTAATTTATTTTAAAAAATTTATTTGTATGAGTTTATTGCCTGCATGAGTGTAAGTGCACCTATGTCATGCAGTGCTCATGGAGGTCAGAAGAGGGTGTCAGATTTCCTGGAACTGGAGTTATAGACAGTTATTAGTCTCCATGTGGGTGCTGGGAATCAAACCCAGGTCATCTGCAAGAGCAGTCAGTGCTCTTAACCGCTGAGCCATCACTTCAGCCCCAAAAGTTAAGATAGTTTTTAATTGAAACTTTTCTTAGGTTAATTTTGATTCAGCAGAATTCCTAATATAGATCTGCTGTATCTTCCAAATCCTAGCCTCTGGCTTAAGAACAAGATGTTTTCATTATAAAATGTAGAAATGCATCAAGTTTTAGCAGTTAGTGATATTTATAAGAAATTATAATCCATAAAATTGGGTATGTATATATTTTGCTCTAATTGGAAACTACTGTGAGATTTTTAATATCGTATTTAGATTTTTCCCAACATAGTATCTGAAGATAATCATAATAAAAATATATTAATCTTACTTTGTTGCATGCTGGGGGACTTGGGGATGTAAACTTTATAGGATTACTATAAGGGCTAATGGGTATGGTATGTGGAGTCTTGGACTAAAAAATAATTTTACCTTGCTTCCTGCTTATATAACTTTAGGGGATTTATGCATTTTAATTAAGAAGTTACCCTTGAATTATATGTATATTTGTATGTATATGTGTGTGTACACACATACACACACACATATATATGTATGTATGTATACACATAATTTTTTCCTTTATTTTTGATTTTTGAAACAGGGTCTTCCTCTTGCCCAAGTTGGACTGGAACTCACTATGTAGACCACACTGGTCTCAGTCTCACAGAGATCCACCTGCCTCTGCCTCTTGAATGGTGGGATTAAAGATGTGGGCCACCATGTCCAAGTTGAATTTTACACACACACACACACACACACACACACACACACTGTTGAGCCCCCTCGTCTCGTTCTCCCAGAGATCCCCCTGCCTCTCCCTCTCGTATGGTGGGAGTAAAGATGTGGGCCACCCTGTCCAAGTTGAATTTTATACACACACACACACACACACACACACACACACACACACACACACGAAGCCTAGCAATATACATACTATATATATTTTGTTATGCTTCAGAATGCACTTTTCTAACTGATCTGAATGTCGATAGAAATAAAAGCCTTTTTCTTTCTTATTATCTTATATTTACATGTTGGCTATAATGTTCTTTTGTCTATTGATGAGAGAAACACAAGGAATTGGCAGTTGTGTGTTTTGTTCAGTTTAATCAAAAATCAGTAAATGTCCTTGACATGCACACTAACTACTGGGACATGGAATAGATAGAATCCTGGTGTACAAAGACATTTTATATCAGTATATTATGTGAGTCTTTTCCTGGGGAAATGTAGCCATTATTTACCCCAGATAGGGAATTGATGGCAGACAAAAGTTGCTCTATTTCTTTGTTTGTAGAGAGGAGAAATAACAATGAGTTTCTCATCATACTGCTGGGATTGTTAAAATGATATGTTAATATGTGAAGCTGCTTAGCTTTATACATGGTGTATGTTTATTAAGTAGTGGTTGTTACTATAGTAGTATAACTTAGCAATAATATTGGCATATTGCTGCCATTCTCCCCAAGCTCCATTGTTTTTGGGGAAGTTGGGTGTATCTGAATTCTGTAGAAAGAATAATAAGCTGTGTTAAGCAAGTGAAGAGCAAACAGCGAAATGGCAAAAATGTAATCGCTGGGTGTTCATAAAAAAATACAATTGCTTAAATGCTACCTTGGAATGTCCAGGGTAAGAATACCTCATATGGGTATTTTAAAAGCTTATAGTTGTGGAAGAGGGGAAATCTAGTATTGAGATTTCAGCATCTGATGAGAGCCCTCTTGTATCATTGTGGAAGGTAGAGGATATATGCAGCCTTCTTAAAGACATCCACCCTCTCCCCCCTTGATGGTAGAACTCCTATGACCTAATCACTTCATAAAGTTTCCACTTTTGCAGTAGCAATTAACATTTGAGGTTTTTTTGTTTGTTTTTTTTTGGAAGGGAGAAACAGTAAAACAATAGCTAGCATATATAAGTATTCCATCCTTGACTGTAGTACTTAAAAAAGTATTAATATGGTCAACTTGGAGGTAAATATTGAAAATGTGATAGCATTTAGATAAGTACAAATGAGATGTATTTGTAATTGGTTTATTTCTTTTGCATATTCGGGGGCTTTTTTGTGATAGCTGTCTGAAGTTCTATGTGACTTATAGATGTCTTATGATATGGCACCTATGGCCAGCGTTCATGTATAGCTGTTTTTATGTTGACTCTAAACTTTGTTTTCATGGGTAGGTAAGCTTTTAGTGCTGTATCCTTATGTTGATGTCAGTGGTATATGTTAGTTGAGTTGTTTGCTTTGCATTTTCATTGGCCAAATCTCTTTGCCTTTATCTTTAGCTGTTCTTTATACTATCCAGATAACAGAAACTTAATGTGTTTATATTTATATTTATAAATAGCTCCTAAATCAAATTAACTTAATGGGTGTGCTTAGATACTATATTTTTAATAAAGACTAAATAGACTAAGGTAATGAGTGTTCTATTTAGTACATTTTCTGAATAGAAATTCCTATAGAATATTCAAATAATTTTAATACAATTGAATTAAGAAGTTGAGCAGAACATGAGTGTATCAGAGATCGCTCTTCTCATCTCTGGTTTATTGAAGATTTTTAAAGTAAAAATACTGCTTTCTATTTGGCGACCACAGCTAAATAGAATAATCTTTATTAAATTTTAATTTAAAAAATCCAATTTACATCAGATGTATGTGATATTAATCCCATAATGTAGTTATTCCCCCCCCCCCGAATTCCAGTAACAGCTGAAGAAGTGAAATAATTCATATGCTGACTAATAACAGCATTTCTGTTTCACACTTTTAGGCAGTTTTTGTATCATCTTAATTATAAAAGTCTACAAAGACAAGTCAGCATACGAATGCTATTTTCAATGTGACAGCTCAGACAGCTTATGCAAACTCACCAGTTCTATTTCATTTAATATATTAAAATGAATAAAAACAAATTAAGCTGTGGAAAGTCTTTTGGAGTTTTGTAATAAATTCTCTCGTTTGGAAATTCACACTAAAATGTGTGTAAAATTTGAGAAGAATGAGAAAGAATATTGGGATGTGGTTATAATGAGTATTCTCCTCATATATTTTACAGCTCAACATGAACTCTGCTCCAACATTCATGCATTTTCCTTCAAAAGGCAGACCCAAGAGAGCTGACACTTTTGACCTTCAAAGAATTGGATTTGCAGCTGAACAGCTAGCAAAGTGGATTGCTGACAGAACAGATGTTCATGTATGGTTTTGTGCTTTTATTGTCTACAGTTTTGTATATTGATTGATTGACTTAGTTAATTAGACTATTGAATGAAACTGCAAGATTTTTTTTTGTTTGTTGGTTGGTTTTGGTTTTTTAGTTTAACTATGGCTGTTTTCTTTGCCTAGAAAATAGTTTTTGCTTTTGCCCTGATGAGGATTAAACCCACCAGCACCTATGGATGCTGAATATATATCCTTCCACTCCACTACATTCCCAGCCCAAGAAATCTGGGCTTAGTACCTATAACTAGTAAATCAAATATGATTGAACAAGTGAATTTATATCGTTTGTTGCATAACGATTAATATTCTAAATGAACATTAAAATATATTAGGTAAAGTAAAATTTCAAGGAATGAAAAATACTATGAAAATGTTTGTATATGAATAATAAAATATTCTAATTTAGCAAGATGTAAAATATTTTTTATGTAATTTAAAAATAAAAAGCTTTAGAGACACGGAGAAATACATCCTAACATGTATTGTTCTTTGAACTGTAAATTGGTATACGAGTTCTAACAATTTGTGTCCTATATCTGTTTTATGTAACTTAACAATTCCACCTGAAGGAATTGAACTCAAGGATATAATCAGTTGTTTCAAGTTTCTTGCCATGAAAAAAATTTTAACCACATTCACATTGTGGAACAAAATCAGAAACAAATCAGATATCCAAAAATAAGAGACTTTCACATTGAAAAATCTCACAGTCTAACAAGTGAAAAGTTGACTAGAAAAGTCACATGAATAATATTTTCTAGAATTTTGTTTTTAAATATTAATGTGGGTATAGATTGAAAGCTATAATTCTGGAAGCAACTGGTAAAAATAATCCTACCAATGTATTTGTTGAGGGCTCGTGGCTGTATTTCTCAGTTATTCCCCAATTTTTCTGTATGAAGCTATTGTAACCAGTTATTTTGAAAGTGATGATAACCTCTGAAATTTTACTAAAAGTTATAAACCCGTATTTCTGAAACAAAGTCTCTTGTGGTATTACCATATTTCTCCTGTATGGTAATACTACCTGTATGATTAGTGTGAATGATATTTTGGTGACTTTACTTCTTTCCTTATTTTGTTCATTAAAAATATTTTGTCACATAATGTACTAGGCAGTGTGTTATTTATTTGGTGTAAGAAGACATGGATTATCTCAGAGTACTCTTAGTTTGTTATAAGAAATACTAAATTTTTTGCTGAAGAGGAGGTTCAGCAGTTAATACCACCTAATGTTCTTGGGGATCCAACACCTTCTTCTGGCCTTTGGGTGTCTAAACTCACATGTACATCCACACCTCCACATAGACAACATTAAAAAAAAAATACTCTTTAAAGAAATTCTTTAAAGAAAACTAGTTTTAATTAGATGTGATTGTGACCTAATGACTTATTTTTATTTAGTTCTTTTGTGTTTAGTTCTTATTATTTGATTAATTATAAAAAAATTGAAGATAATTGTAAGGTTGAAAATATTTTAAAAATGGAAATAGTACTGTATTATCAATATATCTCTTACACAGAATTATCTGTTGTCTATGATTCTTATTCTTATCCCCATCCTCAAGTCGTCAAGTCCTTCTGCCTTCCCTCACATATACATATCCCCCCCCGAAAATTAATCTGGATGAATTATACTTATAATCATAGTAAAGTTGTGAGCTTCAAAGTTTTATACAGGATAACCTTTAATTTCAGCTCTTATGGTCTATATTAAAATTGTATAACTTCATTTCCTTGTCATGTCCTTAAAATACCATTTTATCTGTAACATTTCAATAGCCCCTGCATGCCTTTATAATCAATAGATTGTATACAGGAAGACTATGCAGTTATCCTGTTGCTCATCAGAACTTTCTTTTAGGTACAGTATTCATGAATATTCTTTGCCTGGTTCAGTTTTCTCAGGGATGGTTGCAAAATGGTTAAAATTCTAGCTCTTTCTCCATATTTCTAGTTAAGCTTCACCTTTGGGTTGAAAGTGAAAGGCTTACTTAAGTCTTTATGTTTCTTCATGTTTATTACTGATAACAGAGCCATATAGTGATTTTTTAAAAAGAATTGTCCAATATTATGATGTTTTGGCACTTTAAAACTAAGGTTTGTAGTTCAGTCTTCTTCTGAAAGTAGCCAGTTCTTGTAGATGACACGGGACCTGGCATGAATTTGAATTTGATATACAAGCTGATCAATCCTGATTCTCCTCTATCTGTACTATATATCTTAAGGAAACAAACTTGCCATCCTTCCCTGACCTACTGATGGAAATGCAATAAAGTCAGTGGCCCTAAACCTTTCCCTGCCTCCTGCCTTTTGCCACTTAATCACTTTGATATTTTACATGGCTCGGCTTGGAATGTAGTACCTCCTGCATTTAGAACTTCTTATAACCTACTTTTCTTTTTCCTGAGACTGTTTAATTTATTGCTGCTGTGAGTGTAGTGCTAAAATTGTCTGAGATTTGATGAGCTGGTGCTCCTCTGTGTGGGCTCTTGGTTCTTGAGACATGGCTTCATCAATATTTATTCAAAGTGGAAACTTAGTTCTCTGTTTAATTGATTTACTGCAGGCTATTGTTGTTTTAGCTCTGTAGTCGACCCAGCATTCAGTGAGCCATGTCTTCAAATAATCCTTCTTGGTTCTTTTCAGTAGCAAATGTTATCAGAACCAAGATCTCTATGAACTTTAGAAACCATGAGTTTACCACTTTCTGAAAAATAGCCTTCATGTGTTAAAGATCAACAGCATGAAAGCAGATGACAGCCCATGGGATGGAGTAAATATTTGCCAATCACTTTTCTAATGACATGTATCTAGATGTATGTTGAGCTCTTAAAATAAATGATACACTAACAAATCTCAATTAAATATAATCCAAATAAATATTTCCATGAAGAAAATACAAAAATGCCGAATAACTTCATGGGAAAATGTTCAAGATTATGTTAGGCAAACAGAAAGTTACAATGAAATAGTCTTTCTGCATAGCCATGACTTTTTTTGCATGTACTTTTGATTCATTAAGAGAGTAATAAAGGGTAGTGTCAAGGACAGACGTGAACAATAGGATGACAGCTTTCTGAATCCTTTGTGTTGAAAATGGGAAGGACTAGAATATGGATAATTGTGGTTCTCTTTTATTTTTTAAATCTTCGTGTGTTTTTGCAGATTCGGGTCTTCAGGCCGCCTAACTACTCTGGCACCATTGCTTTGGCTCTGTTAGTGTCGCTTGTTGGTGGATTGCTCTATTTAAGAAGGAACAACTTGGAGTTCATCTATAACAAGACTGGTTGGGCCATGGTGTCTCTGGTATGTTGTCACATTGCCCATTTATCCAATTACTGTATAGTTTTGCTTTATAATAAAAAATGAGCCAGATTATTATTGCAGTGAGAAATAACTGAAAATGAGAAAAATTACATTATTTTTATAACCAGGATAGATAGGTTTACTTATCTATTCATTTAAACCATGTACATATGCTTTCTTCTGTTTTTCCTTATTAAAATGTAATCCCTCTGGTATTTGGCACATTCCAAATGCTAAAGAAATGTATATTTGTAAATATGCAAAGAATAAGAGTGAGTAGTTTGGAGTAATTAGTGACTTGAAAAGATTTGGGTATGTAATCAGTTTTTTTCCAATAGTTATTCTTAGGTCTTTACTATGTGCCTCATACTTACTAGGTACTGGACATACAAAATTGAGACATAGACATTTCTGTAGTGAATCAGTGTGGGGTACGAGCTCATCAACATAAATACAGTGTAAGATTGTACAGGCTGTGACAGGCAAGCAGGGAGAGTGCTAAGAACACACAGGGAAGGCACCTGACTCCACTGAAGGGAATTGGGATAAGCATCCAGAAGTGTAACATTAGCTGACATTTGATGAGAATATGAAATTCTGTAGTCATTAAGGCCAGTGAGATGATGATGGGCACAAAATAAGTGAACTGTTGTCCATGATATCAAGGCAAATTCCAGACACAAATAGTACAGTTAAATTTGTTACAATGATCACTCTGTTGGCAGCGAGCAGTTGCTTGAAAGGGTTCTTTTGAAAATAGAAGATAGATTAGATGATACAGAAAAGATAATCGTACTCACTTTTACATAGCTAGTTTCTGTCTGTGACTAAGATCCTGCTAATTTTTTTTTTTCAATTAGCTAATAAAGGGTCAAGCCCCATGACTGTGGTTAAATACTTTTGCTGTCATGACTGTTGACTTGAGTTTGATTCCCTGGACTTACATGATGGAAGGAAAAAACAAAATCACATATATTGCCCTCTGACCTCCACTCACACAGTGACATCAGTGTTCCGACTCCTAAAAAAAATAATAAATGTAGACCACCCGGCAGGCTCTGTCCTGGGTAAGTCCATTCATTATGCCCTCTGCGCCTTGACTCCCCCAGCCTCATTCACCCTCCTAGCTCCCTTGCCCATCTCTCTTCCTGGCCTGGGTGCTGTCCCATTTCTTGTCTTGACACCACGGACACCAGGGGAACCACTACTGCTTCCTGATCCTTTGCATCTAGACCAACCCAGTACCTTCTCGCGGTCACCAGGAGCCCACTGAACTGGTCCCACCTTTACCTCCCTCTGCTTCCCTGGACTGCATAACCCACATGCCTCTTTCCTGGACACTGGGGCTTACCTCTCAGCTTCCTGATCATTTGCATCCAGACCAACCCAGTTCCTCCCTGCAGTCCCCAGGAGCCCTTGGGGCCTCTTACCACCCCCATCTCCCTTTGCATCTCTGGGTGGCAAGGTGACCAGCTGCCCAAGACCAGCGTCTTTCCTGGGCCCTGCTCCCAGGCCAGTCCAACCCCAAATTCCTGAGAACAACATCTTTCCTGGAAGTATCTAGACCTTAGGAGAAAGCCTATGAACATTTGATCCTGATCTGACTTGAGCCTCTGTGGAAACTCCTGAAGACAAAAGCAATCTGGTCACTCCAATATAAAATCAAAGGAGAGAACCGGAGGCTTAGACGAGCCAGCTTTTTCTGCCCAAAAAAGTAAACCACAAAGGCACATAAAGTTTACAAATAGAAGCAGACGTAAATTTGAAGGCTTGAGTCTCACACAAGAATCAGAAACTACAAAAGAAATCCACATCTCAAAATCACAGAGAAAAAATAATAACATGAAAAACCAAAATAACATATCCCCACCAAATACCAATATTCCTCTAGAGGAGTACAATTAGAACCCCGTAGAGATAATGCAGTATGTGAAACTCAAAAGAACAATTATAAACATGATAATAGAATTCAGTAAATTTAAAGAAAATACAAAAAAATAAAAGAACTGAAGGAAGATAGGGATAAATTTCTTAATGAATTCAGAAGAGCTAGAAATATTGAACACTACACAGGGTGAAATGAAGAAGGAATTGAAACACTTAGTAAGCCAATTAGAAACGACAGGAGAAAGCCTTACCAATAGGATGAATGAAATGGAAAACAGAATATTAACACTGGTAGATAACGTGGACGAACTAGACCACTCAAGCAAAGATTATGAAAAAATTAAAAAGCGCAAGAATGGAATATGCAGCAATTGTGTGACACCATGAAAAGACCAAACTTACAAATCATAGGGATACAGGAAGGAGAAGAATCCCAAGATAATGGCATGGAACAGATCTTCAACAGAATCACAGAAGAAAATTTCCCAACATTAAATAAAGACATGTCCATACAAATACAAGAAGCATATAGAACACCAAACTGACAGGACCAGAAAAGAAACTCTCCATGGCACATCATAGTAAAAATACTAAATGTATGAAACAAAGAGACAGTACTGAAAGCTGCAAAAGAAAAACAAGTCACATATAGAGAAAACCCATCAGAATTACAGAAGACTATTAAGTGCAAACTATGAAAGTCAGATGAGCCTGGACCAAAGTATTCCCACTTTTAAATGACCACAGATGCCAACCCAGATTACTATACCCAGCCAAAATATCAACTATAGTCGAAGGGGAAAGAAAAATCTTCCATGGCATAAATAGGCTGAAGGAATTCATGTCCACAAAACCAGCTCTTAAGAGAGTTCTGGAAGCAATTCAAAGAGCTGAAGAAAGGAATGACTATACCCAAGAGATTGTTGCAAGAAATTTAATGAAGGTGTAACTGTGGAAAAGTACAGCTATATCAAGAATGTGAACAGAAATAAAAATGACAGGATTAAATACACATGTTTCATTAATAACTTTAAATATTAACAGACTGAACTCCCCAATCAAAAGACACAGACTAGGTGAATGGATTCCGAAACAAAACCCATCTTTTTGTTGTCTGCAAGAAACTCATCTCACTTTCAAGGACAGACACTAGTTTAAGGTGGAAGGATGGAAAAAAATACACCAAGTGAATGGTGCTAAGAAAAAAGCAGGCATTGCAATGCTAATATCTGACAAAATAGACTTTAAACTAAAACTAATCGAAGAGATAAAGAGGACCACTTCATTCTCATCAAAGGAACAATAAACCAAGAAGATATTACAATCATGAACATATATTCACCAAACTCTGGTGCACCCAACATCATAAAAATACTACAGGACTTTAAGACCCAGATTAATTCCAACTCATTAATAGTAGGGGACTTCAATTACCCCACTGTCTCCATTAGATAGGTCACCAGGGAAGAGAGTTAACAGAGAGACATCTGTATTAAACAATACCATATATCAAATGGACCTAACAGACGTCTACTGAGTATTCCACCCAAGCATCAAAGGACGTACTTTCTATTCAGCGCTCCATGGAACCTTCTCCAAAATCTACCATATACTGGGGCACAAAACAAACCTCAACAGATACAAAAACATTTAAATAATTCCATGCATTTTATTAGACCACAATGCAATAAAGCTTAAAATGAACACCGGAAGAAGCCCTCGTCACCACATGAACACATGGAGATTAAACAACACAATACTGAATGGGTCAAAAAAAAATTAAGAAACAAAAGTATTCCTGGACCTAAATGAAAAGGACAATGCAACACAACAAATGTGACATGCTGAAAGTGGTCCTTAGAGGGAAGTTTATAGCTCTAAGTGCCTGCATTAAAAAATCAGGAGCTGGGCGTGGTGGCACACGCCTTTAATCCCAGCACTCAGGATGCAGAGGCAGGTGGATCTCTGAGAGCTCAAGGCCAGGCTGCTCTACATAGTGAGGTCCATGATAGCTGGAGCTACAGGGAGACCCTGTCTCAAAAAGACAGAAAAAAAAAAAAAAACCTGGAAAAAACACAAATAAATGACTTAACATTGCAACTCAAGAAATTAATGAAATTGAAACAAAGAAAACAATACAAAGAGTCAATGAATCCAAGAGCTGGTTTTTTGAAAAGATAAACAAGATTGACAGACTACTAGCTCAGTTAACCAAAAGAAAGAAGGTGCACCTCCAAATCAACAAAATCAGAGATGAAATGGGAAATACCACAATAGACACCACAAAGCTACAGAACATTATAAGGGAATACTTTGAAAACCTATATGCTACTAAATTTGAAAACCTTAAAGAAATGGATGGAAATCGAAAGGGATTGAACCACCAAAACTAAACCAAGAAGAGATTAACAGCTTAAACAGACCCATAACACAAAAAGGAATTGAAACAGTAATATAAAACCCCATGACTAAAAAATGCCCAGGACTAGAAGGATTTACAGCAGAATTCTATCAGACATTTAAAAGTCTATATCCAATACTACTTAAGTTACTGAAAAAGATGTAAATGGAGGGAGAACTTCCAAATTCCTTCTATGAAGCCAGTATCAGTCTAATACCAAAGTCAGGTAAAGATACAACCAAAAAAGAAAACTGTAAACCCATATCCTTAATGAACGTAGACACAAAAATTCTCAAGAAGATACTTACAAACCACTTACAGACACACATCAAAAAGATCATCCACCATGATAAAGTTGGCTTTATCCCAGAGATGCATGGATGGTCAATATATATGTCAATAAATGTCATAAATTATATTACTGGGATCAAAGACAAGAACTTCATGATCATATCAGTAGATGCTGCGAAGGCCTTTGACGAAATTCAACATTCATTTATGTTCAAAGTCCTAAAGAGAATTGGACTGGAGGGTACATACCTCAACACAGTTAAAGCCAGATATTGCAAACCCACAGCCAACATCATTCTAAATGGAAAAAAACTGGAAGCATTCCCATTGAAATCAGGAACCAGACAAGGCTGTCTACTATCTCCACTTCTCTTTAACATAGTACTTGAAACTCTTGCAAGAGCAATAAAACAAGAGAAGG